CTGGTATCGATGAAAGAGTCACGACTTGCCGAGTAGGCGTGGTTCCAATAGGGCGGCAAGTAGCTGCCCGTTTTTTCCACGACCCGGAGGACCACGGCGATGTTGTACCTCGGAATCGACCAGCACTCCCGTCAGCTCACAATCTCTCTGCGAGACGACCAGGGCGAGGTGATTGAAGCCCGTCAGGTGTCCACGCAGCCCGAGAGGGTTCAAGCCTTCTTCCAGCGGCTCACCGGCGAGCGGTTGAAACAAGGCGAGGCCTTCATCGCGGTGCTGGAGGTGTGTGGCTTCAACGACTGGCTGATCCATATGCTCAGGGACTACCGCTGCCACAGGGTGATCCTGATCCAACCGTACGAGCGGAAGCGGTGCAAGACCGACCGCCGTGACGCGTCCTCGCTGAGCGAGTTGCTGTGGGTCAACAGGGACCGGCTCATCCAGGGAAAGCCGGTGCGGGGCCTGCGGCAGGTCGATATCGCCTCGCCCACCGATCAAGAGAACCGACGCTTGACGACACTCCGCAAGGACGCCGGACGCTCGCGTACGCGGTTGGTCAACACGGTCCGACATCTGCTCCGGCGTCACAACCTGCACTGGGAGATGCCGACGAAGAAGTTCCCAACGAAGCGCGCTATCGCGTGGCTGAAAGGGCTCCAGCTACCCGCCATCGATCGCCTAGAACTGGACGACCTGCTGGAAGACATCGAACGCATCCAGCATCGGATCGAGCGGTTGGAAGCAGTCATCGCGCAGCGGTCCAACGCCAGCCCCGAGGCAAGACTGCTCACCTCGATCCCGGGCGTGAGCCACTTCGGCGCCACGGCGCTCGCCAGCCGCGTTGGCCGAGTCGAGCGGTTCCCTCGGGCACGGAGCTTGGCCAACTACTGGGGGCTGACCCCCGGTTGCCGCAACAGCGGCGAGAAGACGCAACGGCTGGGCAGCATCACCAAGGCGGGGAGCGGTATGGCCCGCTGGCTCTTGGCCCAAGTCGCTTACCAGGCGTTGCGAAAAGACCAGCCGCTACGCGAGTGGTTCAAGAGGATCAGGCGGCGGCGGGGCAGCAGCATCGCCCGCGTGGCGGTGATGCGGAAGCTCGCAACGATCATCTGGCACATGCTCTCCAAAGGAAAGACTTACGCCGAGTGTCGCTGCTTGACGGCGCCGGCGGCTAGCTAGTGGAGAGTGAGTACGACTCACTCGTCCAGCCAAAGACACCCCAAGGAGACCACGATTCGGCGACGGTTGTTCGGTCCGTTCGGCTCCGGCCGATCGAGATCCCTCCCGCTCGGCCAACTCGATTCACGTCCTTAGAGGCAGGGGGTTCGAAGCAGCTTCGGTCCGCCCGCTCGATGCGCTGTATAGAGTGGCCCGGCGAGGAGGAATTCGCACACGATAAATCCGCATCCGCCACCCCAAGGCGGAGTCGCCCGCGACCCCCGCGAGCGGCGTCCTGCGAAGGAATGTGTCGGGGGCAATCGCTACAGACAAGATCGATTGCACTTCCCCGCGGCGACGACAACTGCTTCCGGATCCACGAGACAACGAAACCCTCAATCGCTTGGCAATCATAAACCGCGACGCCGCGGCTCACTACCACTACGCACAGAACCCGTTGGGGACCACTTCTACTTGACAGACTCTTTCAGGAAAGGATGTAAACTCGAATGGCACGTAGTTTTACGCAAGCACTGTGAGGAGTTGGAGTTTGGTCTCCCGCCTCGGGGCCATCATCCACTGGTAGCGCTTTGGGCGTCGCTTGACCTGCCGAGGTTCGAATCGTCCGGGCCGATCACCTACGGTGTGGGTCGCGATGCAGGCTAGGAGTTGTTCGTAGGCTAGTTCGCGAAGGCGTGAGCAACAGGCGATTAGCGGCTGGAAGGCTTCGAGCGTCTGCATCGCCGCTTTGAAGCTAATCGACCGTGGCAAGAGGGCGTGCTCACTCGCCGCCTGCGCCATGATGATGCGGATGAGGTTGTAGGCGAACACGTGCGTCCAGATCTCCTTACGCACCAGTTCGGGTGTCTTGCAACGCAGCACCTCCATCTGCATGGTCGTCTTGACCGACCGCAGGTCCAGTTCCACGTTCCATCGTGCTCGATAGAGCGCCGCCAGGTCATCCTTCGTGAACTCCTCAGGGTCCAGCAGCGTCGTCACGACGATAATCTCTTTGTTTCGGAAGCCGGCTTGGCCGATGATCACACGGCACTCACGAACCGTGATCGAGTCGGGCAACGCGCGGTACGCCGGCAGGTCGAGCGAGCGGATGGCGTCGATACCGACCGCAACGTCGCCAAGCGGTTTCTGGGCGACAGTGACGAGGCGATCGCCGGGGCTCGGGTGCTGATGTCCAATCGCGGGCTACTCGATCAACTGGCCCGGGAATCGGCCATCGCCGACGACAACGGATTGGCCCGGGAGGCGATCGGGCTTGCCGGGCAGAACGGGGTGTTCGGCGCTGGACAGGCGCTGCTGTCGAGTGAGAACAAGCGGTCCCTGGAAAGGATGCTCGACACTCAACTCCCCAACCTAATCCAGGCGTCACGCAATGAACTGGTGGCGTACCGTCGCGACAATTACAGCCCGTTGGTGGCGGGGACGTTGAACGCGCTCGAGGGCGCCAACATCTACGGCGCTTCGATCGGCCGGGAGTCTCGCCAAGTGGACCTGCTCGAGCAGGCCCGGGGCTCTGGCGTTCTCTCACCGGAACTGGCGGACAAGATCGACCGGGCGCTGATGCTGCTCGACCGGGTCGCCAATGCGTCGGAAGGAACCAGGGACGAACTACCCTCACGCCGAGCGAGTGGAGAATGAACGAACCAACAGCCTATCCCGACTTACACAGCCGACTGAGAGCCATTTGGGCCGCTCCGTTCGTCACGGGCGACATCGTGGTGGACGTTACGGTCTACCGAGAAGCCGATCAGCGCGCCGCCGACATCATCCTTCTCGCCGAGACGTACGGGATGCTGGGCGTGCTCAGCAATGCGGACGACTTCGTTGGGCTCTTGGCGATGTCCAACCAGCTAACGGGGATTCACGACGCGGTGAAGTCGCGGATGGGGGGCTCGTCATCATGATCGACGGCGCCCTCGTTATCGCCCTCACGCTGTTCGTGCTGATCACGGCCGTCTGCGTCGTGCTAGCCACCAAGCTGGCGAACGAACGTCTGCGGCGCCGTGAATCGGTATCGCTCCCCGGCACGGTCGAGTTCCTCGAACCGGTCCGTCGTTGCCCTGACGAGCGGATCGCTGCAATCGAGGCGACGGTCTCCGAGCTGCGGGCCGAGTTGCTGCGGCTGAAGGGGTGAGTTCGCGTTGCTCTTTGACAATCCGACCCATGGCCCCGGTTCGGTCTAACGAGCCGGCCGGGGCTCCGAATCGATTGGGCTGATTGTGCGGCCTCGACTCGCGACGCACTCGTCATGAGCCGGCTCTCGTGACCGTGGGTGATGCTAGGCTGCTTATGGTGTTACGCCCCTGTATCCCTAGAAGCCGTCCGCTCAATGTTCCGGACCATCTACATCAGCAAAGCGAGTTACAACTTCTCGCACGACGAGCTATCGATCATGTGCCGCGACTTCGCAGCCGCGAACATTAGGCGGCAGGTGACAGGCGTCTTACTCAGAATAGGGAACTACTTTGCGCAAATCCTCGAAGGCGATGGCGAGGTCGTGAGCGACCTGATGAAAAAGATTCGACAGGACAGCCGGCACGTATCTGTAACCACGCTGCTAGAGCAGGACGATGTCCAACGAGCTTTTGCCGATTGGTCAATGAATCTCATCGACTGCGAAACCATCTACTACGTCAACTTGGCGGAGCTTCCAGAACTGCGAGAGCAAATCGCCAACATGGCGGTTGCGACGGACGACCAAAGGCGACTGTTCTCTTCGCTGATACTCAAGCTGGTTCAGTGCGTCCGCTCTAGCCCATCGTGTGAGCCCGTCGGCGTTGCGTAATGCCGCCGCGCTGCGTTTCGTCCGCAGTGAGAACGAACGCCGCCGCCATCTAGAGAAGGGGCAGCGCGCCGACGACCAACGCAAGATGTACGCGGCGGCTTGGCAGCGGGCGAATAAGAACCCCGGCGGTAAGGGGACGGCCAAGAATCGCGGCGTAGCAACTGATTGCAATCTTGCAGAGAGTTCGGAATCAGCCCATGCGGCAGCCGAGAAGTTCGGCGTCTCCACCCGCGGCGTCTACCAAGCCGCCGTCGTCATCGACCACGGCTGCCCCCAACTGCAACAAGCCGTCCGCGACGGACGGGTGAACGTGACACTAGCGGAGAGGGTGCCCGGCGTCGCACCTCGCGCGCGTGGGCAAGCCCGAACGACAACCATAGTTGTCAAAACGCCAACCACGCCACCAGACGCACTAGGAGCCAATCTTAGAGGTTGTCCAATAACTGCTATTTGAGCGGTTTGTCGATGGCTTTAGGTTGTTGGCTATGGACAGGAAGCCCTACCCAACGGACCTGACGGACCACCAGTGGCGACGGATGAAGACCTGGGTCCCCGTCGAAGCGGCCACTGGCCGTCCGTCGAAGTACACCAAGCGTGAGATCGTCAACGCGATCCTGTACGTGACGCGTAACGGCTGCACTTGGCGTGGTCTGCCGCATGACTTTCCGCCGTACCGAATCGTGTTCCACTGGTTCCGCAAGTGGCAGGCGGACGGCACGTGGGAACGGCTGCACGCCAAGCTCTGTGAGCGGGTCCGCGAGAAGGCGGGGCGGTCGCCCAGGCCCACGGCCGCTGTCCTCGACAGCCAAACCGTCAAGACGACCGAGCAAGGCGGGCCACGCGGCTACGACGCCGGAAAAAAAAGTGCTCGGTCGCAAGCGGCATGTCGTCGTTGACACGCTCGGCTTGATGTGGGCCCTCTGCGTCACCTCAGCCGATGTGCAGGACCGCGAGGGGGCGAAGCTCGCCCTGGAGGCGTTCCGCGAGTCGGTGAAGTTCCCGAAGATCATCTGGGCGGACACGGCGTACAAGTCGGTCGTGGATTGGGCGCTGGTGAAGTGGCTGTGGCTGGTCGAGATCGTCACGCGTCCTCGCGGCAAGTTCGTGCTCCAGAAGAAACGCTGGATCGTCGAACGCACCTTCGGCTGGCTCAACCGCTCACGCCGCCTTGCCAAGTCCTTCGAACGGACCATCGAGAGTGACGCCGCCTTCGTCCATGTCGCCATGATCCAGTTGATGGTCAAACGGTTATGAAATCGTCGTTATTGGACACGCTCTAAGCCCCTCCCCACGTCCGGCGACAAAGATATCGAGGGTGGGATAGATCGGGGCTGGAAGGGGGCTTTGTGGCGGTCGGAATCTGGAGAAGTGAAGAAGTTCTTCAGTTTTGCGGGCGACGGTGCAAGAGACGAATGGCACTTAGTTAACGATAACTCCTCTAGCCATCAGGGCTTTGAGCACGTGGCGAGGTCGGGTGAGGAGGTCGTAGCGCTTCTTGCGTCGCTTGAGGTGACGCGGTTCGTAGCGGCCGGGACGGTCGCCTACCCGGTGAGCGACGATGTCGGTGAGGAGCTCGTCGTAAAGCAAGCGCCTGCGTGAACGGCAGGCGGCTATGAGCGGCTGAAACGCTTCTAGCGTCTGCACGGCGCCCTTGAAGCTGATCGTCCGCGGCTGAACGTCGTGCCGCGTGGCGGCCTGCGCCATTATGGTGCGGATGAGGTTGTACGCGAGCACGTGTGTCCAGATCTCCTTGCGGACCAGCTCTGGCGTCTTACAACGCAGCACGTCCATCTGCAGCGTAGTCTTTACCGATCGCAGGTCGAGTTCGGCGTTCCAGCGAGCTCGATAGAGCTCGGCGAGCGCTTCCTTCGGGTAGCGTTTCGCGTCGAGCAGCGTTGTCGCGAGCACGAGGGTCTGGGAGCGGAAGCCGGGCTGGGCGATCGATACGCGGCATTCGCGAACCCGGATCGACTCGGGCATCGCCATAAACTGCTTCCAAGTAAACAGCCGATTCGTCGTGGGCCTCGGCCAGACCACCACGTGGTCGCTCAGACCGAGCCGCTCGCCGAGGCGGAAGTCGGTGCTTCGATTCGATGTGAAGCGGAAGACGGCGTCGACGCCACGCTCTTGCAGCAGAACGAAGTTGTTCCACGAGCAGATCAATCGATCGCCGAGCAAGACGCTTCCGGTGCGGAGGACATCCAGCATCGGCAGCAGCAGATTCAGTTCGCTCTGGCCCTTGCCGGCGTAGCGGCAGACGCCCAGGTCGAGGATCGCCCCGCACGAGAGCGAGAAGACGGCCGCGATGCGGGCGATTGGGAACCCGAGACCGGGCTGCTGATTGCTGACCTGGGGATACGCGGCCTGATTCTCGGGCGTGTCGGGCATCTGGACGGTCGAGCCGTCGTAGACGTAGACATGTCGCCCCTGCCAGAGCCACTCCTTCTTGGTCTGCGAGTCGAGAGATCGACCTGTCTCGCGGGCTGCTTCAGCGAAGAACGCCTCGGGTAACCGCTTACGGGCTTGGCAGTATGCGCTGGTCTCCGGCGAGCATCGGTGCTGGCCATTCGCTACGCGATGGGCGATCAACCGTGCTACGGCGGCTCGGCATGAGTGGTCGGCGCTGAGTACCTGGCCAAGGAAGACCCACAAAGTGGTCAGTGGGGTGTAGATCCGATCGACCCAGCCATTCTCGATCGTCGCCAACGCTTGTGATAATGTCTTCGCGCTGAGCACTTCACAGAACGGCAAACCATTGCGCTGCAAGAACTGCTGCCGCAGAAAGCTGATCTGGTTTCGACAGCGTCCGTCGGTAAGACTACGCATCGCGGGGCCTCCTTGCCTTCGATGGGGTGTGTGACAACTCCCATCTAGGCGGGCTAGGCCCTTTTTCGTAGATCAATTCCTCGCAATGACTTACGGCCAACTACGTGCCATTCG